GGTGATGAAATTATCTGCTTATCAAATCGAAGAAATCAAATATCGCCCAGGGAAATTAAATGCCAACGCTGACTCATTATCACGAAATCCATTATCAAATGATGATATCAATCAACAAGAACTGTCAACAATAGAAACAGCTGTCAATCTATGGCAAAATACAAACATTCTTAATGACATCAAAGAAGAACAAGAAGCCGATTCCAAATTAAAGCCGACAATCGAATTTTTAAAAACACAACCAACAACAGATTTTAATGATAAACGTAATCCCTTCATTCTCATTAACGGATTACTGTACAAAATTAAAAACTCGAACAAACATTATAATCAATGTGTCATCGGCGAAAAGCATCTGCTGGTCATTCCAAGAACGATGCAAAATAAACTATTGAAATGGGCACATGACCACCCAACAGCCGGACATGGTGGCCAACAAAAAACATTATTTAGACTAACAACAAAAGTATATTGGGAATCAATGAGAAAAGATATTTTTAATTATGTGGCCGCTTGCCAGAAATGTCAACAATTTAAGTACAATAATGCCCCAACGTCAAGTCCATTACAAATGCATGTAGTGAACGAACCATGGCATACAATTGATGTGGATATTATGGGCCCGTTACCAACTACAGCTAGACAAAAACGATTTCTTCTCGTCGTAGTGGATTATTTCACCAGATGGGTCGAACTATTTCCACTGAGATCAACTACATCCATCGACATAGCAAATATTCTTATGAATGAAGTATTTTCAAGGTACGGGCTACCAAAGCACATCGTATCAGATAATGGTCCTCAACTGGTCTCAAATGTATTTAAAGATTTTTGTGATACATTGGGCATCAAGCAAAATTTAACCGCAAACTACCACCCACAAAGCAACATGACAGAACGTGTAAATAGAACATTAAAGCCGTTAATCGCCATATATGCTCAACAACAACACAACTCATGGGATACTGAAATTCAAAAATTAGCATTTGCAATTCGTACTGCAATCAACGAAACAACCGGTGAAACTCCAGCTTTTATGATGTTCGGTCGAGATCCCAGGGGGCCCCTCGATTTACTAATTGGTGAGGCGATAGAAGAGCCTAATTCAACTACAATTCATAATGGATCAATTCAAGAATACAAGAAAAAGTTGATAAACAATTTACGATGTGCGTATAATGTTATTAAAGAACATGCAGAGATAGAAAAAATAAAACAAAAGGAAAAATATGATCAACATACAACTCATAGACAATACAACGAAGATGATCTCGTGTGGGTGGCGAATCCAAAAGCAAAGATTGGAGAAAACTCTATGGAAGGAAAATTACATTCACATTATCAAGGCCCATGCCGTCTGATCCAACAACTATCGCCAAATACGTTCACAGTATGCCGTTTAAGCGATAACATCAACTTAGGTGCCACGAATACAGATCGTCTCAAACCCTACATTGAATTAAATAGAAATAATCAAACTACAACAAAATTTATAAATGATCAATCAGCCGACGGAAAAAACACTCCGACATCAATCAGCGAGGATGGACCACCGCCGCAGTATCCAGAACGACAAAAGATGAAAAATAATAATAAGTCGCCGATGTACAATCAATCATCGCAACGTCGAGTGTCAAATCGTCACCGCAAGGTGCCGATACGCTATGTCGAAAATTAAACAACGACCAGATAACGTCGATTAGCTAATAAAATTAGGTGACACATCAAGAGAAAAGAAAAATAAATAGATATTTTATCCTGTTAAACGGAAACGTCAGTCGTCCATGACGAAAGTGAAGAAGCAACCATTGGATAACGAACTCATCTAATCGATGTTATACAAAAAGAAGAGAAAAAAAAGAAGAAAGCGAGGTGATCCATAAACATTCGAATATGCAATTTATTTCATAAAACAGCGAAAATAAGATGAAACACTTTGCGAAGCTATGGATTTTATCAACAGCCATGCCTACATCAACAACAACAACGCAATGGTATCAACAGGGAACGGCAGTGGCAGTAGGACTTATTGGTTGGGCATTATGTCAATTATTTCAATAACACTATACGTGAAATTAAGTGGTAAAACAAAAAGACGTCAACATCGGAAACGATCACAATGCCACCAATCTGATGAAAATGCTTATGTAAATAAAATGCAAAGAAACTAGTCAAAAAACATATATATATTTGTTTTTTTTCCTTTCCTCTTCTCTGTTTTGCCTCTTTCTTCTTCCTTTCTTTTGATTGTTTTTGTCTATATTGTCGTACCCAGTATGAGCAAGGGTGTGCTCTCATGTGTATATCTGTCGTTTTTATTGTTGTCTCGCTTCTTCATTATCACTTTTTCTCTCTACTCTCGAGTGAATGTTTTACTTCATGATGCTCTATCCGATGTTTGGTTAAACACCTGTTCTATCATCTCTTTTGCCGTCAACTAGACGCCCTGGAGTGCGTCTCGCCTCGGTGGAGGGGTGTGCCGAAGTAGGCACATATTCTAAATGGTGGTTATGCATGTATGTAATATCGTGCTCCGTTCGTACACACAATCGTTCATGTGCAGCGATAGCTGTTTCTCTCTCATGCTCTCTCTCTCTGTATGCCCCTCTTTCTCTGTATGTCTCTCTCTTTATGTCTCTATCTCTCTCTATGTCTCTCTCTCTATATGTTTTCCTCTTCTCTTGATAAGAATGCGTTGAAGTGGAACGCAAGTATAAAAGAGAAGGAAACATTGAAATAAAATCAGTTGAAAACACGATATCATAATCTTATCGTTACAGTATCTTCCAAGCATACTAACAAGCAGGTACCGAGAAATGAAGGAGAATATTGGGAAAACAAGCAGCGAATTCTAACATAATTATTTATTTTCCAATAACCCGATCAAAAACTATCGGTTATTCGACCACTACGGGCACTAAAATGATATTCTAACCCATCGATAGTTACAGATCGATGCTGAAAAGTAGAAAATTCCAAAATACATTCCCTATGCTCATTAAAATCTGTAATTTCAAAAAACTCACCAATGATATCCTTGCAATAAGCACACAGTATATGGAACGCAGAAGACAAAGGCTAAAAAAAAGAACAAAAGATCAAATCATTATAAATAAAAGCTGCTACCCGATTTTACTCACTTGAAGCAAAGCGAATGTTTAATCTTCGATTCCAGAAAATGATTGCCGCAGAGATGATAAATAAAGCACGAATAAAATCGGCGAAGACAACGACTTAAAAACGCGAGAAAACAAAGATCTAAAAACGAAAGAAATTACAAATCTCATCATATATGCCAAAAAAAAACAACACTGACATCTGGCTTATTCCTTCGATAACAGAATCACCATAATGCAACAAAAAGGACCAGCGACCCATAAAAATCAAATAGACAAAGACAGCGAGAAAAAACATGCAACATCCTAATCGCAGCAAATCATCCACACGCAAAAAGCACATAGCACATCCAAGCTACATGAAATTCCACACAAGAACTATAAAAAGCTACTAACGTGAGAAGAAGAAAACACAAAAACCAAACAGTAAGTATATCTATTAATCACATTTAAAACACCCACATCATAAAACAAAGATAAAACTGCGTGAACGAAGTAAGCTGGATCTATTACTCATATTAACAACAATCTCCATCATATAAAATGCCTGCAGAAAATCTCTATCCATATCCTCAAGAATACAACTTCGAATCTTACTTCCACAACAGTCAGAGAATGTTACTCTCCGTAACTAACCACATATATACTACCCACCATCCAACTAGCTCCTAAACACCTACCTCATCCAAACCTAAACCGTCACGGATGCAGCAATCAATTACAAAAAAAAAGCTTAATCTCGATCAGCCCACATTTAGACGTTGCAGCACACAAAAACAGCCAGAATCAACACATCAAAAAGAACATCAAAGAATATTTGCCACGAAACCCAACTATCCGAAACCTACAATCCTCTTATACATTCTATTAACACCATCATCACTCAACCAGTCACACAGGAAACCCAGAAAATGATCGAATAAGATCGAAAATTCCTGAAAAATAAACAAAAATCTTATACTACATACAAATTTTGCTAATCATTTCATGAAACTGACTACACAACCTCAAGATTCTATGAAAATCTTCTCATAAATATTTATCAAGATTATATATTAAATGTAAGTTTTAGTATATCGATGTTGTACTTCGTACAAAGTATTTTGTTAAAGAGTGTTGAGTAATATTTTTAGTTCTTTTTAAATAAAGGATGGACATTGTTAATTGTGACTGCATGAGAATAAATTGAGATGTAAAGTGAAAAAAAAGTGGATCGGATTTTAAATTTTTTACATCTTTGTTTTAATTGGTTCGTTAAGATCAGTTGCAATATATGGAACATGTAAATAAATTATCAATGATGAACTATTCAACGATTATCCAGATAAAGGAGGGGGGGTCGATAACCAATCAAATCGGCCCCTTGACAAATTCGACTTTATCTAACCGAAACTATCATATTAGGTGCCCGAAAGCGTTCTGTCATAGAATTAGTCAAATAGAGCTTGCTTTTGATATGAACAGGTCCAGTAACTTATTCAATAGGCATTGCATTAAAAGGATGATCCTGGTTTTTCATGATAATCGTCTCGTTTTATCCACTCAATACATGATTGAGCAGCCTCATTTTCTTAGGGTTGGATAGAAATTTTT